GCAAACTTCAGCACTCTAGCAGACAACCGAGTTGTCTGCTGTGTTGACGCGCTGCCCCCCACCACACGGCCCACGGCACGGCCGGTGTGAGCGCCACGGCCTCTGCGGGGTGCTGCACTCTAGCGGCGAGCCCGAGCAGCCCTCTACCCCCTCCAGCCAGCTCTCTGGCGGGAGGCTCGAGCGAGCCGCGGCAGGCAACGCCGCCGCGGCACCAGGCACTTCTGTCTGGGACGCGCTTGAAGTAGGACGTGCTCCCCCAGACTCTCCGCGTAGTAGTACCGCGCCGCGCTACCGTGCAGTTCCTTCTGACTGCTTGATTTGCTTGTACTAAGATCCAATAAATATCCGTGCCGAAAACCTCTGCCTTTCCTTTAACCAACCTTGCCTCCAAGTGCAACCGCGAGCCCCTGGCCCGGTTCACAACAATACCCTGAAAATTTCAAGTCTCTAGCACATCTCCTTCTAGTGGAACAGACAGACAGACACACAGACACACAGACACACACGAGATCGTTTGCATAAGCCCGCTGGATAGCTTTTTCAAAGGAGAAGGGCGGGCAAAAAAAACGACTTACCCACATTTGCAACTTCAAGTTTAACCAGTTTAACTCGGCGTCCTACCACCTCAACACACAACTACCTGACCCTAAACGTGAAGAAGCTGGATCAACAATGACGAGATCGGTGAAACTTAGCTTCGTTTCCGCCTCCGCCAACCCTCGCACGAGCGCACTCTGTTGGCCAGTACGGCGGTGGCGGCTGCCCATCTACCCCTGAGCCCGGGGGCCGGGGCGGGGAGGCTGACGCTTGCGCTTCACGTGCAGCCTGGTGGCCAATAAACTATATCATAGTCTGCTGTGTCTGTAATGTTTCAGATCACGAAAGTTCTCACAAAAAGAAAGCATCAAAAGCGACTTAAAGATTCGGACCGTACCACTCTCGTGCTTGAAAAGTTTTTGCGAGTTTTTCGCGAGCGAATTAGTGGTTAGTAAAGAACAGGACTACCCAACGCTGCCGTTTGTGGCGCCGGCGGCGCGTGTCCTGCGCGACCAATGTTTGGCTGACTTACTAGACTCCGTTGACAAAGTGGCAATGCGGAATAGGGCATACAACCTGCTGAATACGAAATTTTTACCAACCATGACTCAAATGATGGCGACATTCCTAACACCGTGCTTTCGAACCTTAGACGTGTTGGATGAGGCGGACCGACAAATGGTATGGTTACGTTAGGACAAGTACCGATCTTATTATTTGTAGTATGACAAAGTAACTGAACTTTAATTTTAATTTTGCAGGTAATCGAGCACGTCCGAGCCCTTTTGAAGGGTGAGCGTGACAGTGAGGGGGGAGGTGGAGCAGCTGACAACCCCCCTACACCACCAGTGGTGGAGCCGCAAGCTGCTCCGGGCGTCGCCGAGTAGCTGATCTCTACAAAAAAGTTCGAGGCCCCCATCTTATGTTAGCCGCTGATGACGAAGTAGACCAATACATAAAATTTGCCAAATCTGAGATTGATGTTGAAGATATGCTTACCTTGTGGCGTGCAGAGGTAACTAATAAATTTCCCCCATATAATTAGAATTTAGATTTAACTAAGCACCCGACAAACATGAACACGTTGCGGCTATGCAGCCTCAACATGAATACGTTATGGTGGTCCCCAGATTACCAGCGCACGTTGCGGCAATGTTGCTTTTATGACGTAGTGAAGGCGCATTGATTTGACCGAAAATGGGCACCTACACCATGAGAAATTTCACCTAGAATCCACGTCGCATCCACGTCCATAAAATGCACGAGGTGGAAATGCATTCTCCACTTGCCATGGACGTTGATTCAACGTTGACATAGGGGGGATTCACCGATGCGCTTAATCGACATAGTAGCGACCTAGGTATGAGGTAAGTCCATCGATACGCTCAATCGACCTAGTAGCAACCTAGGTTCGACGGAGATTTACCGAAACGCCCAAACTATGTAGCATCAACGTGGGCACTATGAGGATTTGTCGATTCGCCTAATCTACATAGCATCTACATAGGCAGGACGACGACTCACCAAATCACCCAATCTACCTAGCATTCACCTCGGCAGTTCGTGGATTCATCCGTCTGCCCAATCGACGTCGCACCTACGTAGGCAGTAAGATGATTTTATCAACATTGCCAATCCACCTGGTATCTACGTTATAACGATGTCAAATCGATGCCTATCACATTGAACATTTAGAACATGCGATAGGCGTGTTTGTACATGCAATTTTTGAAGCATCCGTGTCTTTTTGTTCGCGTCTACTATTACTACTGATTTTTGTGGTTGGAGAAGATAGGTAAAAATTACAGAACGGCAAGGAAAACGTTGAAGTCTGACAATTATTTTAATTGCTCATGAGTGCAGCATGGGGATACAAACGAAGCCCTCGCTAGTGGGAAGCAAAACAATCTTTCGCTCAATATAATTTAAGTTCCAATGTGAAATATTTCCTGGTTGTGAAACTACAAAAATATTAAAAATAGATGATTTTACAAGGTAAAGAAAGTAATCGCTCTTTTGTTGAAATGCTTTTTCAATAACAGTAACATTTTCACAGTCTCGCAGAAAAATAACAATTTGCACACAATCTCCATTTTTCATAAGGCAATACGAATCAGGTCCATGTAATTGTAACATAAAGTTTTTTAGAGAAACTTTTGAAAACTGCTGTCCTGGCATATTTAAGGAAGGCCCTAGGTGATGCGGTCCTTCTAGAGAGGTAGAATTGGAATAACAATATCTATTATTATACAATGCTCTGTTTTTTTCTTCACTTCTATTTAAATATTGTATTAGTTCACGGCCTGGAGCACGTAGAATGGCCTTGAGTCCTCTAAAGCTATTTTCATATTTGAAGTAGCTGAATTCCTCAGGGTTGCCGTGCTTCATACACTCAGCAGTGAAGTGTTGTAAGTGATGAACATTGTATATGATAAAGGTTCTGCCAAAAACTTTCTCATTAAACCTGACAAACTCAGTCAACAGGACATGAGCATCATGTGAACACTGCTGCCGTAACTTGTCATCAACTAATATCCTCATAGCACAAGAGAGTAGTAAAAAACAGGAGTACACTTCCTTGGGCAAATTGTGAAAAACCACAATACCATCATAAAAAACTAAACGTCTATAGTCTACAGCTTTGAACAATTTCCAATCTTGAAGGGATCGAGGTTTCCTTTCAAAGTCAGATGGAAAATGTGATCTAAGGCTCACACACATCTCAGAGAGTGAGACAATAACAGTGTCATTTAGTTTTTGCTTACTTCCTTTAGATTTCAGTAACATGCCCACAAACTGTTTTACCACACCCAGAAAAATTAAATGCATGCCATCCAACGGAAATTGTTCTATCATGTTCATATTCAAGTCAAGAAGTGAAGATACACCTAAATGATGAGCAGGCTGATGATGCAATCGAAACGATTCTTCTGTCCTGAGTTCAGATACGCCGGGTAAATATGTCATTCTCCTTCCAAACCATCTTCCCTTCACAGTACACCTATCATGCCTGGAAGAAAGGAAAAATAAATATACAAAAAAATGTCAATAAAATTAAAGCTAACTATATAAACATATGACAAACCTCTCACAACAGTTGTAGCTGCCATGTTTATTTACTTTCCTCAGCCAGGAACGGGCTGGAGCATCAGCATGAAACCAACGATCGCGGAAAGAATATTTGGTGCCATTCAACTCAACACCATTATCAATGAGGGAACGTGCTTCTTCGATTAAATCTTTCAAAAATTTATCGACGTCAGAAGATTCATGTAGTGAAGCACACCACATAGCGACAACAAACGGTTGATTGTCACTCTTCAGACAGCATGAAATAACCCACAGATGTCTTCGCACACATTTGTGTGGTGATATACCATCACTGAATAGGTCAACTGTTATGGTAGAGTTGTCAGCATGAAGCTGTATAAATTGTTCTGATATTCTGGACTGAATTCCTTGTAGAATTCCCCTATAAAAATAAGACCCACCAGCAAGAGTTCGTATTAGCAGACTGTTCTTCTTTGGTGTTTCAAGCAATGTTTTTACACTCTGGGGTAAGAATCTTAGTCCAGCATCTCTCATTAGTGATAGCAACTTATCAACACCCTGCCGCACAACATTGTGTTTCACAGCCCAATTGCGAAGTCTGGTCCTAATAATTTTTTTCTTCATTTGTGATATCACTTGTAACCTCAGGTTCTGTGATGGTAATGTTTGTTAAATGTTCAGGAGTATGGCATTGTTGCTGTGTGTGAGGCACAGATTCTCTTCCATCATCTGAAGGGCTGTCTGATTGGCCAAAGGTCGTAGTGTTCACAGCCACTGTCACTACTGTCAGATTCTGAACTAGAATCAGGTTCATCACAGCTTTGATAACCAGTTTCTAAGCCTGGGGAGACAAACAATGTCAGTTACATTTTTAGGTAAAATATTGCGAAGAAAATCACAGTATATAATCAGAATCATACCTGCAGGTAACGTTGTTGAATTCGAGGAAGATGGGGGAGATGGCAGTCTATATCCATCACACAATTCACTCACACTGGAGGCAAGCAAGTGAACATCATGCTGACTTAGATCGTTGATCTTATTATTATTTCGGCTCTGTTGAAGCCTTTTCCTAGCCACTTTGACGCCACTAGCACGCTCAGCCTGGCGCAATTCTTTCCGAATTTCTTCAGCCTGCGAAGATTTATGAATGGTATAGTTAGGTAAACAGGTTATACAACAAATCCGAACACAAAACATCTACATAGTTTTGAAATAATTTCACCTTTTTTATTCTGCATTTCCAGATTTCAATGTTTAACAATCCCGTCACTCTCCTACGTGCTACATTAATGAATTAGTGTAATGTCAGGGACTCAGACGAAATTTTTTTCCGCAGCAACGTGCCTTTCGTTGTTTACCACTCCCCCCTTTTCCCTTCCCTCTCCTTCCCTACTTCTACTTCCCTTCCCTCCTCCAGGCCTTAAACATAAGAAGAACGAATATTCATCGTCAGGTAAGGCAACCCGCCAAACAGTAATGCTCATGCAGCATCGCCATTGTAATAAACATCCACAGATCACTTCTGTTTGAAAACTCAAATTTCATAATGACTCAAAATTAAACGTATTGCACTTGAAAGATAAAATATGAAACCATACCTTCTGCTTTTTTTGTTGATCGTGGGTTGGTAGCAAGGCTGCACCTCCAGCATCCGCCATGCATTTTGTTGCTGTCTGCTTCAATGAGCGGTGCTACTTGTCAAATTTTAACAATTATAAAAAGGTTGAATTTTTCCCAATTGATCTGTACATCATGGCATCGATAATCGAACCATTCAATGTTCCAGTCGATAAATTGGTTAGTGTACCTAGACTTGTGTTCAATTCGGCCTGTAGTTTCTGTGGTAATTGGAAATCTAGCCATGACTTTAGCCTGAGCTCTCATCGTTCAGAACAGATTATCGGGTTGCCAAATCTGTTTCTTATATCGACCAGCGACCAGCCGAAGCAGGGCCGCCAGGACTTGGAGGAGTACCGCGGGCGAGATGCGTGCCCCGGAGTCCTCAATGATCGCCGCCCGCATCTGCCGCGCCCGGTAGCTAGCCGCGACCGGGTCGGTCGGGTCGAGGGCCAACGCCGCCACCGCGCACGGCGAGTGGTCCGTCGGGAGGGTGCGACGGACGAGGAGCATATCAGGGCCGACGATCACCTCGTCACAGCGGCCGTAGCGATCCTGGAGAAGAGGGTCGCATTACACGCAAATCCGAGCACACCCCCAGAAACATACAACACCTACCATGATGAGACAGGGCGACCACGACCAGGCACCCAGCAGGCGGGCGGCGAGTGAGCCGGCTCCGCTCCGCACTGGCCCGGCAGCCGGCCCGAGGTAGGGGAAGGGGAGGGTCGGGGGAGGCCGGGAATACAAACACAGCAGACGACAGGTCGCCGGACAGCTTCCGCGGGCGCGAGCCCCGCAAGTCGGGGGCAGTCCGGCCGTAGACAGGGCCTGAAACAAGAGACAAGCAGGAAAAGTGCAGAGGAGACCGGGTAGGTAATAGGATACAAACCCCGCCCTGCCAAGTCAGCCCGCGAAGGCCCAGGCTGGCGAGGGGAAAGGGGAAAGGGATGGGGGAGGGTGGTGTCAAGCCGCCTAAGAGGCGCGCCCCCGGCCCACCGGCACAGAGCATCGCCGAGAACCATGGAGCGACGTGAATGGCGCATCCGAAACGCCGGTGCCGGAGCACCAGGTAAGGAGCCAGCAGGGAGGGGGGTGGGGGGTGAGAAACCATCCCCTCCTAACCAAGTGTTGTGCACGGGAGACAGCCCAAACGCAGCCGGGCATACCTGGGAGGGGTACCCCCTGGAGGTCTGCGACGGGCCGAACGACCCATGGAGGCCCGGAGGAGCCGCCAGGTGTGTATCACAATAATCAGCCGGCAGCGACCCCAGAGCCAGTCTAACGTTCCATACAAGTGGGCGAGTATTCCGCGTCATCGGGCCCGGGGCGCTACCTCAGACGTACCGGCTGGAGCCGGCCGCCTTCGAGGGCCTGTGGGCTTCGCCGGCCACCGTCGAGGAGTCATCGCTGCGCCCGTCGCAGGCCGCGAACCGCTGAGAGAAGCCCCCCCC